CTAGGCACTTCCCATCCAAAACTTTTGATTTCTTTCTTTCCTTTTTCCCAGAAAGGTTTTAGAACTACCCTAGCTGGGTGTTCTTGACTATGTCCTAATATATTGACCCAATATCTTAGTGACAGTTCAATTCTTCTAAGATCTAAAGGCATTTCTCCCATTTCAATCTGCAAGGCTGCAGTTGGTGTAGGCCTAGATCTCATCTCCCCCTACATAATCTTAACGCCTTGTACTGGATTTTGTCCACCTCTTTAAACACAGTATTAGCAGCAGATTGATACACTATACTCCCATAATCAAATACAGATCGTATCAAACCTGTATATATACTTCTTAGAGCCATCCTCTCAGCCCCCCATTCTTTCCCCACTAAACATCTCATAACATTCATTACCCTTTTACATTTATCAACAATTTTTTGAATGTATATTTTAAACGTGAGTTTTTCATCAAACCACATACGCAAAAATTTAAAACATGATACTCTTTCTATATCTTGACCATATAATTTCAATTTTACCTCTTTACTAATCCTACATTTTGAAAAGAATAAAGTTTTTGTTTTTTTCAACAGAGAATCTAAAACCCCACTTATATGACCACCTTTCTACTTCTGTTATTGCTTCTTGCACTTTCCTTACAACAAACTCTAAATTCCTCCCTCGTTTCCAGATTGCGTCCGCGCAGGCTCTGTGGTAAATCGTGTTTTTAGTCCGGTCAAAAACACACATTTTATGACTTTTTAGTACGTTTTTTCTCGGTGCCCATTTGATTTCAACAAAAATGTGAGTATCCAAGTTTATTAACTTTTGTCTCTGATTTATTTCCTCCCCTGTTGCCATATGGCAATTACTGCCAATATTATTCACCGTTCAAGACGGCAACTAATGTCAGATTGATCGGTGATCATCACCGTAATTAATTCATTTGCTTAATTATTTACATTATAATTATGGTAACTGTTTCATGACCACACATCCAGACGAGATTTCAGTCACGTCTAAGTCAATAGGCTAAATGAAATCGCAGATGTTCTATGTTAATAATTGTAACTCTAATGTCGTTGGGGAAAAACCATATAATTTTAATAGTGCTTTAGTTCCTTCCCGTTCCTGACTTTGTTGACCTATCTTTCTGACGGAAGATGTGTACTAGCGCCCCCTACCGTATAACAATGAAAACACGGATTCTAGGAGCACAATTATAGCTAAAATATATTTAGTATAAGTATACAAGTCAAGTATACTTAAATGTCATTTTAAATATATTTCTAAGAAGTACATAAAGCCCATTTCTGAGAAGTACATAAAAAGTAGACTAAAAGTATACTTTCCTATTTTTAGTTTAAAAGATGTATACTAATAGCACACTTGAATAAACTTATTTTTCGTAAGGGTTGTCTGAATCACATATTTCCTCTTTCCTTTATTTCTACTACTGTTGGATCAAACATTTTCTTTGACTCTAACATTTTAATCTGGAACAACTACCACACCTTTCCTTCTGTAGTGCCTCCACATCCGTTAAAAAGAAATTGGTTCTGAAAATATTATTTCAGATTTAACATCATGAGGTGCTCTCTTGGTGCAGTGTGCTGTGAATTCATGACCAACTAAGCTGAAAAAAAATTGGGAAAATATAATATAATTAAGTGTCACCTGGTTAAATGTCAATTTTTTTTTCATATAAGCTTTATCCCATTTCTGAAACTTTCACCTAACTCTGAGAGTTTTTCTTTAGAGTTTAAATAAAGGTGTTAAAATAGATAACGTCTAAACATCTGTTTTTAATTCTAAATATTGCATATGACACATAAAGTGTTTTCCAGGCAATGCTATATAAGGGACAAAAGCTGCATTTTGCAAAGGTGTATCACCACAAAATTGGTTTAAACTGGGTTCCACTATTACCATTACATTAGTTTTATTTTCCAAAGCCTATACACTCAGAACTCAGGCTCATTCAAACAGCCTCTCAAAACCAGCTGACTAAACCTTTCCATGAGCTGGGGACACCCGGATGACCCTAAGTCTCCACCTGAGAGAAGAACACGTTCTTTGAGTCCAAAAAGTGGACAGACGGATTGTTGACACATTCAGAATGGCCTGACTCACCGTTTCCTGAGAAAGCTCCACTCCCAGGTACCCACAGTGACCTATCCGCATAGCAGCCTCTTTATGACCTGTATGCATGCTAATTCCCCAAATATACTGTATTTTTAATTGCATAACACTGATTTCCTGGATTTTTTTCAGTGCTGAACTGGCTGTCATTCAGAGAAGGTCACATGTTTGTGGTCATGTTTGTGGTGCCATGTAGAGCTAAGAAGAAACAAAGGCTTTCAACAACACGTGAAGAAACCTAAATAAGAATTATCCTATGCTTTCTGTCAAAATAATTTATGACATAACTCGGGGTGCACATTCCAGGAAGGGTCACCCAGCTTGTTGGGAAGCACCAGTGAGGAAGTGGAAACAAACACCATAAGGGGTCATCCAGTTTCACCCAAGCTAATCCAAGTTTGGCATGGGTTTTTACTACTGGCGGAGCACTTGTGAGAGTAATATGTCTGGGTGTTGGTGTATTTAGTCATACCGGAGGATGGTTTTAAACATAAGCTTTGAGCTCATCCAGAACATATATTATGTGACTTACATTGTTGTCTATATCTGCAGAGACCTGCTAAGGAACCCCAGAAAGAGAGGCGGTCACTATCCTACTTCTGTGGGTGATGGTTTAGGTGTGCGCCAAATAGAAAGATTCCTCTACCAATCTAAAATGGACATCTGTGATGATCTGATCATCTGGCTGTGTTTAAGAGGTCTGTTGAGGAACAAAGTTCTGGGGAAAAAAACTGGATAAAGATGCTTCATGACATCTCCTGTAATCTTAATCTCTATTCTTTTGAGACAGCATTGAGTCATGGACAGCAAGGTATATGCAAAGTGACTTACACAGTTTGTATTGACAGTATGAGTCACCAAGTTAAAAAACCAAGAGAACCAGAGGTAGTTTTGTCTAGAAACCTACATTTGGAAATTCCACCTTGCTGAACAATCTTAACTCATAAAGAAGTGTTGGATATTTACTGCCAGCTCAACGTCTCCACTGGGAGCTAGTGCTCCACTAGTGCTCTGGAAATTAATCTTTGGGAACAAGAAGATAGAATCTAGCATGAGTAGATGGGCTAGTCACGCACAGAACAAACTTACTCATCAGTCCACAATTTGCATGAGTCCAGTTTTTAGACATGAGCAAGGAAAATATATTTTGAGAGCTACTACAGATAATGCTACTACTTTACCACACGTGTAGAAGTATAAAAAACATAAAACAAATAAATGTATTTTGCAAGTCAGATTGCGGCATCTAGTGATGCAGAAATTGCACACTTCACCTTTAACTTCTGAAGGACCTCATGTCCATTCTGAATTTGGATATCCACAGGAATGCTTTAACCGAGTCAGTTTCGTTTGCTGCGCAAATAAGAAATATCCCCCAATGCCAGAAGCTTCGTTTAAATGGATTCCTTATCACTGGTGGTGGCTGCCTTTCAGAAAATTATTTTATTTCTAAAATAGTCTTGAGCTAATATTTACAGATGCTAAAGAAGGCACTTGTGGTGAAAGAGAGCACAAGATGAGCTCTAGCTCTGAATTAAGTCTCCAGATACCACACGGCTCCAAAACGGATGAAACTGGCCACTGACGCAAATCCTGAGAGACAGTGTGCAATCCAAGACACCGCCACATATTTCCCTCCTCTGTGTGTCTCTGTCTTTTATTTTATTTTTTTATGTCTCTGTTAACAGGACTTCTCAGAAGTGAATGCAGTGTGTTATTATGTTACATTACAGGTTCTTTAAATAGAGTCATCATGCATCTTTGTTTGAATGTGTATAGATACTGTGGCACTAAAAAGTTTTTGGACACTAAAGATGCAATTAAAATGTATAAATGTCTTGGCATTATATAACAAAGTTTTTTTTTTTTTTCAAAATATATCACACAAACACTTTTTAGTGAAAACATTTCACAAAATGAAATTTGTTGGGTTTCAAGCTATGAAGAAATCAATATACAGGTATATGTTCAAAATAAAGACAAAGGTCTTGGACACTTTCTGGTTGTCAAAGTTTGTGGAACATGTTCATGAGTCACAGTAATATGATGAACTCCACCTGTGTGAACTTGAGGGGAACTGACACAAAAAATGACCTCAACACCAGTTTGTTAAAAATGTTTGAAAAAGTGACTCTAAGTGAAGTTAGCTTTGAGAAAAGCTCTAACATCATTTGTTTGCACATGCCACTTGGTTTTAAAATTTGTGTCTAGTGCAGTTAAATTGAGACATTTTAAGCGTGACTTACTGGTAAGTGTCCAAGAGTGTCCAAACACTTTTTTGAGGCCACTGTACATACTACTGATTTACATGTAATATACACATCTACACATCTACAGAAGTGATGATTATCAAACATAGGAGGCTGACACTACCATTGGTTGATCATCTTGCTATAAAGATAATACCTTCACCACTTCATTATTCAGCATACTCAGAGGCACCAGGCACGTTATTGGCAATAAATAGTTGTTGTCACTGTGTGAGGTCTTGGGGAAATGATACCTCTGTGTGTGTCCTCTCACATTTGCATGCACTCATATTCACATTCCAGGTTTCATACAGACTGTGCAGAGGCACTGGAGCCGGGATGTCTTGACCAGAGTCTCATGTCCACCGTCCACTGTTCCTGTCTAAGACAGGCCAAAGCCAACCGCAGGGGGAGAAAAAAAAATCTGTATCAGCAGAATGCAAGATGCAATGAAAGTGGGAGGATTTACATAACATCAACAGTGGAAATTACACACTTCACCTTCAAGTGTGTAATTTCTGTGCCACTAGCAGCACCAAACAGAACTGCAAAAATAATGACTGTTTTGAAACAGTTTTCTCTGTCTGCCCCTCAAATTGCCTGGAAAATACCTGTGCCATTGTATTGTGTGGTGTTAAAATGATGTTTAAAAGAGTACAAAATAGAGTCACTTGCTCAGTTGGGATTTTACCTCTTGGCAACCTTTATATACTCAAGGTTCCCATGATCTGTCAGCAGCAGGAAGGGGTTTTAAGCTTCGCCCATCCAGTGTCTATACTCTTTCAATGCACCCTTCATGGTGAGCACTGCCCAATTCCCCACCTCGCAATTATGGTCTGTAGGAACAAGCTTCTTAAAATGTAATTTGGCCAGGTCACCAGGTCGGATACAGCATGGCGTTCTCTGAAGTGTCAATTTCCTCAATGAACGTATAGAATTTGGAGAAGATTCTGGTTTAAAATACCTGTTCAGACATCAATATTCAATACTTGGGGTGTGGATTTACCTCGACATACAAAAAAATCAGTTGTAGGCCATGATGTGGACAACCTGAAATGACCTAGTTAAAACGCTTTTACATAACACTTACTCTAAGGGACAGTGAGACGACTTTGTCCCTACAAAGGGATGTGCCAGATAGTGAATTATTGGCTCATTTCCATGAGCAAATTGGACATAATTGAGAGGCTTTTTGTCTTACAGAATGCTTTCTTTAATGCCATATAGATACTACGTTTACCTCTTGGCTCTCTACCGTGGCGCATTATTCCTATACAATTTTCTAGATACAATGGACTCCACTAACAAATCGAACCAAGTTTCCAACAAATTAAAGGATTACTGGTAGTTGGCCTTGGGTAACCTAACGCCACAAGAGTGAAAGGGATAGAGTAAGGAGAAAAATGGATTCAACAAAGAACAATCAGACTTCTTGTCCTATAGTGTGCAGGGTTCTTTTTTTTCTCAGCTGAAACCCTATTATCTTTATTTACTTGAAGTATCCCCTGAGTTTCACAATCTCACAAACCACCTGTAGTTCCATCATACACCCCTAGAGGCTCATAAACCTTGTGTTGGAAATTAGTATTGTTATTTGTACAGCTAATATGACTCCGGAAATATTTTCATGCTTCTTCTTACGCTTTCTTAGGCCATGTCCACACGTACACGGGTTTTTCCTTCTTCCGTTTTTAAAAAAATCTACGTCCACATGAAAATGCAAACGCATGCTATGAATCACTGTCAAGAGCATGCCAAACCAAAAGGTGGCGATATAATCTCAACCGTAAAGCCATGTTGGCCAATCAGAAGCCTGAAAAAGTTTCCAGTAGGCGGAGATAACAGCGCAGGCGCCGAGGTCACAAGCCAAAAACTCCGGTTTCGCTGCCTACACGATAACACTGCAACCAGAGTTTTTGAAAATCTTCACCCTGGCAGGCGTTTTCAAAAATGTTCGGTTTCAGTGAACTGGTGCTGCATTTGTGTGTGGACGAACGGCCTAACCGCGTAGAAAAAGCTGTGGTTTTAAAAAATACCGCGTTCGTGTGGACAGGGCCTTACTATAAAGTTTCTGTATTTCACGCATAACCGCCCATGATCCTACGTCCTGTTATTGTACAACTCCAGACATGCAAGACGTCATGTAGAAATGCACTTTTTAAAAAAGTGATGGAAAAAGACTACGGTCGGGATGTACTTCCTATTGGGACAACAGGAGAATGTGCGTGTGACTAGAGACTGTCACAATTTAAGGAACTGACAGAAGTGAATTGCATCGTCGAAACCTACAAGCAGTTCAGTACAGAAACACTGAACAGACTTGCAGGTTCCAACACCTGAGCATAACAATCTAAATCACCCAGCTGCCAAAGCGAAGACAGCCAAGGAACAATAACAAAACCGCAGTAGCTACAGAGCTAAATCAGGTCACACGCCACTAGACAAATATACAACAAGCCCTATAAATTTGGTTAATCGTGTTGTAATTGAAACCACAAAATGGTAACTTCAGCCCAACTGTATATATTTTAGTCAAATACCCATGATGTTGTAGAAAGTGAATAAGGGTTTTACCAGACAGACTGCTGCATGACTCAACGGTTATAAATACAAAACAAACATTAAGGCACAAAGAATAAAATGAGTCAAAGCTTTGCTCCACCCCCTCAACTGTCTCTACAGCTTGTTGCTGTGATTCACAGTGATTCAGACCTCCAGGTGCTCTTTAGATGACCAGACATGCCACTCGGGGGTCAGAAGTGTGACAAAGTGCCGAATTCTGTTGTAGAGCCAATGCCAGGACCGCTCCATCTGTCTGGCATGTGTCAAAAATGACAAGAACCAGTGGAGTCCCTGCAGCAAGACACGACTAGAGCCAGAGTCAACAACCGGCCTGGAAGAACATGAAAGCTCTTGCTGGTGTACTTTTGCAACAGACTGTAAATGTCATAAATACAACCCTCAGAGATTTCAATGCAGTTCTGACTGCGCAGAAGGTCCCGTTAAACACCATCTAACATTTTGCCGCCCTAAAAACATTGAGTTTGTTTACATGCACAACAATATGCAAGAAAACTGCGTATATTGAATGAATTCTCCATATTTGACATCAAAACGAAAACAGGGTCTTGGTCAAAAATTAAGATGTGGCAATCAGGTTTTTTATGACCTTTTCCACAGTAGAGTAACTCAGTTTAAGGTCATTTAAAATTCAAGGCCCGAAGGTAAATGTGTGTAGGAATCAAATTACCAGGATCTGAAATTTCTGGTGTCTTCTGTGTGTGAATATGATAAAAATGTACTCTTTATTTGTTTTGATATCTTTATTTATTACAACGCTTCATACCTAAAGTAAGTGTTTATTGACTATTTGAATGATCTTTGTCTCTCTTTGTATGTTGGCATTAAATATTATGTTATGGTAAGTAAAGAAGCAAATTATGAACCAACATTTTATGACTAATGATGCTTTTGTGATGGCCAACCTGTTGATACTGTATAGCATTTACTCTCAGAGGGTCATCTCATCCCATCATACAACCATTACACCACAATAACAGAAAACATAATACATAAACATACTTTCTGCTTGATTCTACATTAGCATTATAAATATATTTTTTAACAAAAATAAAGCATCTTTCCACAACTGTCTCTTACATGTCTTCCTATGACACATATTTCCAGGACAAAAACCTAGTTTTGAGATAAGCTGTAAAATATAAGCAAGAATGAATTGAAATATTAAGAAAATGTTGCTGATAATACTTCCAGATCAATGAAGATTAGCTGTTCTTACATTGGATTGAGAAATGGAGAGTGTGAGAAAGACAGATCGCATACATAAATACTTTATTCTGGCATAATGACTGCATTACACTGCCTTCTGTAAGTCTTTGTTCACGGACAGGCAGTTGAACTCATCGGAAGGACAAAACTTTCTAGAGGCACATTGGAAATAGCAGTTTAAATGTCCTGGGCCCAAGAGGACTAAGGCAGAGAACAACAGAAAATTGTGTCTTCCATTTTAGCTAGGTTATATGACAGCACATCCTTTAATATGTTCATCCTCTTTTTGAATGAGGATTAAAGTCCACTGATTAGTCCATCCTTCAGGGGCATCCAGACTCCTGCTTGAGTGGATCCAAACACAAGCATGTGAGGTTCATGGTCTCTACAAATTTAGTGTTCTCCAAAAGACTTTCTCCTCATCTTTGACCTTTAGGAGAGTCGTATACATAAACAACAGAGAATCGACACAAACATCGTCCTTTTCAGTTTCGTTTCCGCCCAGTGTTTGACCACTTAATAATTAACTGAATACCAATCTTGTTTGTCTTCAGTGTTTGACAGAGTATGTAGAAAGCACCTTTGGTGTTGTGTTTTGTATAATGTTCCTCTGGATACAGTATATTTTTTGAACAGCAATGGGGTCAATAGGGTCAGAGTTCAGAGGTCAAAGTCCCAGTGCTGCTGGAGCATTACTTAGCCACTGTTGTCCTTCAATCGCTCGCTTGATGTGGTTTCACCTCATGTCCACTGGAGGGACAAAAAGAAAACAAAACAGCTGTTAACAAGCAATCACATGTTTTGTGGAATCTGGTGCAGTTTCAAAGTGATTTGATGGTGATTTCTTTTTCTTTAGTATGACATGCGGTTTGTGTGTGAGTGACACATATCCACCACGCAGTGATTTTAATGTGTATTATTGAACAGTCTGTGCATGTGTTTTTTTTACTTTAAACAGCATAAACACATTTCATTACACCAAATACACAAAATAATGTTCTTTTTAGCAGCATCATATGACCCCTTTAAGAAAGAAAGAACAAGGTGAAAGGAACAATATTTGTGATCAAGTCCACCAAACCATCAATCCAAACATTTTCATACACTAACACTCAAAATTATGGCAAACACATAAGCTCTGTTCCAAAACCTATTGAGCAGTGCTTGGCAGATTTTAAGATATCTAACAACATTTTTGGGAATAAATTGGAGTTGAGTCTCTGAGTGGGGTGCGCAGAGTTGCTTTCTATGAAAAGTTTTCCAAACCAGTCACTTCCATTTTAATGGTGCCTTAGAAGGTAGATGTCTAGCAGGTTGTAGACAGCAAAGCGGCTCACTTGGTTTTGGAACAAAGCTAAATTATATAGATGATGAACACAGTTTGATTTCATGAAATAAGTTGCATCAAACAGGCAATCCCGTGACCCATGCAGCAAAGCGAAAGTGCAAATGTCTCTCTCGCTCAGTGTTGCATGACTTTGATTGATCGTCTTGCTCTTTCTCCTGATCAGTTCATTCCAATGATTGGTTGCGAAGTGGCAGCGGTTCTGTCCACAGGATATTTACCTGCAGGATATTTTGGTCCGCTGAGTGTTAGGAAATGTTTGCCATTTATTGAATATCCTTGTTGATCTGTACTGCCACTGCTTGCTTTCTGTGTTTCCGTTTTTTACCATTTTTAACTGTGCGTGGGCCTGGAAACACAAGTTTGGGGAAAGGTGCAGGCAGATGATGGGTAGAATGTGGTTGAGTAGAAAAAAAGGAAAGCAAGAAAGAAAGCAAGCAAGAAAGATTAAAAGAAAGAATTTATGGCCTTGGGAAGGTTTAAAACAGACTGTAATTGCACTTCATAAATATTTGAGCCTCATGAGCTTCCAACCATTTTATCTCAGCACAAGGTTTTCACACACGAGGGCAGAAACCCGTTGAACCTGAAGGAGAACCTTCAGACACACTTCTACGTGTTTCAGCATTTGCACGCACCTGTGGTCTTTCTTATCCATTCAATTGCATCATTGCCCAGCACAGTAAAACACAAGCTCACACAGGTGTGTTTGTCTGCGGTGACAGCACAATGCCACAGGCCACTGAGTGCACAATCCATAGCCAAATAATCATTCAAAATCAGGCCAAACATTCGGTGTATGCGTGACATATGTACCTGTGTCTGCTTCCGCATGCTCGATCACGTGATGCTGTGATGTGCACACGCATTCCAAATGATCCTCTAACCGGACAAGCACCTCCTTCAATTTTGCTTTCTTACGCGATGCAAACTCTACCTTCGCCACCTGGAAGAAGAGAGAAAGACCAGGTTAGGTTAGCGATGAATAGTTTTTCAGTGTGTTGGTGTAGCATACAGGACGACAGCACAGTTAACTGTTAAGGTGCTACATGCTCAGTTAGCTCCAAACCCTGCCAAATGGTCATAGGCAACAGTGGAAAAAATTTCTCGAACAATTCCTGGGCAGTAAGCCCAAAACAGTTACATGTTCCACAGTTACGCCCCACTGCAGCACACTAAACTCAAAATAACCACCCAGCCTTACACAGGGGTCGACTCGTGTCTTTTATTGTGCTAATTTTAACGCTTAGGCCTCTATTTCTTCTCACTGTTCTGCTAATGCTTGGCTGCATGTATTCATGGTGGGTGGGAATATGATTACACCTGGTCTGCTCATTGGAAATCAATGCTGGTCAAAAGCCCAAAGTATACTTCGGCCGTCTGCGTTCCATGACAGTCTGTGCACTGTTCGAGTGATGCAATTTTCATCATCAGAAGTGTCTGTTGACGTCCGTGCACACAGACCGTGTGCAGCCCAATTTTTGTGACTGTGCAGATGGTGTGCGTACAACAGCGGACACGGCTGTGTGAGACGGAACGGAACGCGGAAAGTGAAGTATACCAGGGCCTTAAGGCAGTGGTTCCCAACACTGTTCCAACTCTGCACATTTTGCATGTCTCCTTTGTCTGACTAGAGGCGGACAAAGTACTCAACTCCATTACTTGAGTATAATACTCAAGTAAAGTACAGATACTCAAAAAGTGTACTTAAGTACAATACTCAAGTAAATGTACTTAGTTACTGTCCGCCTCTGACACACCCATTTTTGGTCTTGGAGTCTCTACTAATGATCTGATGAGTTGAATCAGGTGTGTTTGATTAAGGAAACATGCTAAATGTGCGGCGTTGAGGGGGCTCCAGGAACATGGTTGGAAACTACTGTGAATCTACTAGACAGATGATTCTAATTGTTGCAGTCGCATCTCAATAAGTCTCAATTTTTTGAAAAAAAATAATCTTGACTTTTTCCCATTCCACTGCCCACATCTCATGTTTTTAAATGTAAAAATATCCCCTTGATTGGTCTTTTTGGCAATATACATGCCAAATACATGCTTAACTTAGTAGAAGTTGGTTTTATGGGTTGCTAAAGAGGTTTTGTAGTGTGGTAAGGAACGGTACTCCATTTGCTCCATCAGGAATGACCCAGAAAGTGATCACACCACCACAATTTGAGTGTGCACAATGGGACTGCACATTTGCAATGCGTTGGCCAAGCATTCAAGTATGCATTGGTTTGCTTCCATGGAGTGTTTTTCTGGCTTCGAACACAATCACTAAATTCAGTGCATGACTCACAGAGTGCAAATAAAAACTCAGTCTACCATGCAAGTGCAATTGGTTTAACATTTTGGAACAAATGATGCAACACTTGGACACTCCCACAAACCTATAGAGAAACGTCAGAATGAAGGTAGGGAGCGAGAGAACGTGAAACAGGACTGTTTCGGTGACTCTGTCCACCCGGTTATACTCTTTCACTCTGTCTGCTGCCCACCTCTCCCTCCTCTTGGACATTCTTGCACTTGGTTATATTTACAGAGCCAAGTCTAAAACAGCCCGTGGCGTGCAAGAATGTTCTGCGACTGAGGATGAAGGGTGAGACAGACACCGAGGGGCTTGAGAACTGGTCGGGGGGTTGGGTAAGGGGTTCAGCAAAGGGTCATGATAAGAAAAAAAGAGTCTCTGCACCATCCTTTGCTGCCCCCGCTCCAATATTTTTATCATTGACTTTGCATCTTGGTTACAAGTCCGAACTTCACACGTGCGCTTGCCCACATACTCGAATGCGCTTTATAAAAAGCCCCAAGTTTCTCAGGAGGCCATTCCAAGCTCTATTTATAAACTACTGTGCTTTACGCCGCAATGAAAGCCCTGCGAAATCCCAGCGCAGCGCACTAATGGTGTGACATCTGATCCAGCCCCGGCTCCATCAACCCCAACCCCCTCTGACTCGCCCTGCGCTCTGTGAGGACTATTGTCCGGGGTCTGGATAATTGGCATTGGGATTTCCCCGCAAGAAAGGTCGATAAAGAAAGGTTGAGAGAAAGAACAGGCATCAGGAGAGGTGCATCATGGGTAATTAGCATGGGAACAAAGGGAACTGGACACGTAGCCAAGGGACAGGCAGTTTTGCTGCACATCTGTCAGTGAGTAAATCTGATGACAAAACACTGTGGATAAAGCGAAACCGAGAGCAGCAGAAAGAGCGGGGGTCCGATGGCAGGCAGGCGACTGGTGGGGTGACCCAAAAAGAAAGAGTGGTGTGGGGAGCAAGCGTTCTTATTGAGTGAGTGACAAAGAGAGGCCTGAACAGGAACAAGGGATGCTGGGAGATGGGTTAAATAAGGGAAACTTTTATCTCATGATCTGCATGTCTAGAGTTACAGAAAGAGTATGGGCAAAATCTTTGCAGTTAAACACATTCACTGGCACCCAGACAATCACGAAGATAAGGAGAAAAGGTGATCTAATCTGTGCACTTCCTGTAACAGCCCTTTAAAAACGTCCCTAAACACCAGCAGAAAGCCCAAGAGTGAAGAGATGGAAAGAACATTGAATTATAGATATGACAGCAATCACAGCCCACCACATGCAAAGAAAAACAAACAAAAAAGAAAAGAGAGGGGGGGGGGGGCTGTATTTTTTTTTTCTTTCTTGCATTTCAAGGTATTTTTGGACTATATAATCTTTAATTGATTCTCATTTGAATCTCACGCATTCTAACTGATGTATAAGGCAAGGTGTAACTGATGTATACATAACATAATATTTAAGAACTTCAACAAACTTTTTAAAAAAAACCTCTGTGATGCCCATTACTTAAAAGTGAATTACTGTAAACATGCAAAGACTACATGCTTTTGTCAATTTATAGATTATATATTATCATACAACTTCACAGACACGTGAATAAAAAAAAGTCAGATGTATGAGACAGTTTTAACATGGGCTTACTGTAAATGTATCTCTGAACACAGAGCTACGTTGTTCAGTTTTTGTCAGCTACATCAGCCTTTCCATTCCAATACAACAGGCTCTTTTGGAATACTCTGCTGTATCTTCTATATTAATATGACGCTCATTCGACTTAGCACTATTTGTGTTTCCTCAGCGTTTGCGTCAGAGATGGGGCCCGTATCCTCACTAACCTGGGCCATTTGAGGCTCTTTAATACCCAAAATCAACACTCGCAACACACCTCGTGCTTCCAGTGCCAGTTAAACCATGTATGATTTCCCTTCACACCGACCTCTAAAGGAGGAATCCAAATCTGGCTCATCCAAACACTTAAACGCTTGCCTTTTGAACCACATCACATGCTGTATTCTTACACGCGCCTGCAAACATTCCAAATCAGGAATATCCTCACTTAGTCTCTTCATTAGGAAAGAACAGCGGTGTGCTGGATTTAGTAAAAAAAAAACTTTTCCTCAGGTTGGGATCAGGTATGCTGATTCAGTCAAATAATGAACTATCAAAAGAATATTGGACCCCATTGACTTTCACTGAATAAATTAAAAACTTTTTAAAAAGTCTTTCATGTTAAACTGAAGAAAGAAAGTCATATAGGTTTGTAAAGACATGAAGGCCAGTAAATGATGACAGAATCTACGATGTCCCTTTCAGCTTTCTGCTGTGTTAACAGATGTTTGAATGTGGCCTTGCTCTCACCTGTTGTTGTAGTACTGTGTGATGATGTTTGCATGCAAGCGTGCTTTAGCAAGGCTAATAGACACAAACTGCAACACAGCAGTTCTGGGGAAATCATTAGTACTGTACACCAATAGCAAGAGAGAACGTGAAGGGGAAATGAGGTCAAACAGAGACTGTACAGAAGAGAAATGAACAGGAGAAAATGTATCACTCATTATGGTGCCTGTAGAAATGAAAATCTTGATTTCAGTTAAAAGAGCCAAATGTCTTTTTGATAGAAGCATGTGCATGTGTTGCACCTAACATGAAACTGTTCATTTTGTAGAATAATTTGAACTTAAGCAGCAAAATTTATCTCATATTTAATTGCTGATTTGAAATTTGTTACTGCAACAGCCAACAGGTTCGGAGATTTCAGTCCCAACTCAAGCAGATAGGAGCTGTGCTAGCATGATAAGAACAGCTGATGAGTGAACTGACTTGCCTTAAAGCAACTTTGGGTGAAAGAAGTGAACAGAATCCATCAGAGGAATATGCTGTGCTGGTAACAAATAGAAAGAGCAGCTATCAACTCCTGTTACACTTTACATAACAGCTCAATCACAACTGTGTGGAGAGAGAGAGAGTTGGGCTAAATGCCAGAGGAAACAGAGAAAGAAAAAAGAAACATAGACAGACAGTCTGATTGATTGATTGATTGATTGATTGATTTAAAGACAGATAGATAGATATATTGATAGATAGATAGATAGATAGATAGATAGGGTAGGTGAAGTTTAACTCCAGTAAGTGTTGATAGACTCATTATCTGGTGTTATGTTCCACATCCAGCAGTGTCTCCTTTGAAACGAGCTTATCACTGCAATGAACCAAAGTACAGCAGAAATGTGGCCAAGCATGCACACACACAGACACACACATATACACACACACTCCCTGTGCAGCGAGGCCTATTTACAGTCAGTCTTTTTTATATTGCGGCTCTGAACAGCAGTACCTTGTGCAGACCTGCTTCTTTTTTAGGATGAGAAGGAAAAAGTGAGGGAAGGGTAAATACATCTCTTAAGAGTATTTGCTCAAATATATACCACCATAGCTGGAAAGAAACACACATAATATATTCTCGTCCCATCCCTGTGCTCAGAGCTGGAAAAAAAACATACAAGAATAACATCTGTATTCATTTTATGCGGAAAAACGGATAGTGCTATACGATCAACTGAACGACCATTCAGAAGATTGCTTAATATGAATAAGTGAACAAATAAAAAAAAAATGCTCATGTAAATAAATATATACACACTACCGTTGAAAAGTTTGGGGTTGGTAAGATTTTTTAATGTAAAAATACTCACCAAGACTGCATTTATTTGATTAAAAATACAGTAAAACAGTAATATTGTGAAATATTATTACTATTTAAAACAGAGGTGTGGCTTGGAATGGGTGTGGCCTTGATATCTATACTGCTTAAGATATAAAGTCAACATTGTCTTCCCCACATTTAAATGACTTTACAGGACTGTTGATGCATTGCTTTTACCTTGACAGTACGGTGCTGTTTTTTGGAGGGGTGACAGCGCATGTTGCCGGTGTTGCAGCAGCCTGTACAGCGTTTCACCTCCACACACGGAGGCCATATTAGGAAGTTTGCAGCGGTGGGATCCACTTGACTGCGGGGGATCTCGTAGATCACTGTCCGTGTCTTGCACATGGCGGGCACCGCTTCCTCTACTGGACACAAGAAAGGAAGACACATGGATAAATTAATGTATTAGAATAAATTCAAAGCAAAGAATCGTCAAGATATTTATTACTTTATTAAATAGCTCAATCATAATCACCCTAAACTAAATGCAAAACATGCAAACCACGCTAAACTATATTAAATAAACAAACAACAAAATAAAACTATAATAAAATAAAATAACTTGAATATGGCACATTAATATGGTAATCACTGTACTATAGTATAACTATACTATACTCAATAATCACTCTGAACTACACTAAAATAAAATCAAATAAAAATACCATGGCACATGATGATGGCAATCATTCAGTACCATGACATTATCATTTGATGTCGTCATTATACTATGGTATAATTATATTTTATTAATTATCTCAAGCATAATCACACAAAACACACTAAAAACCAAACCAAATCAAAATAAAAAATTACCATGGCACATGAATATGGCAATCATTCAGTACTACTGAATTACCATTTTTCGGTTCATTTTTGGTAGTTACAGAATCTGATTTTTTAGTTTTTGGCCTGTGTGCTTCTCTGATGATATCCAGCAAAACAAAAAGGCCCTTAAAACTGCATTAGTAGCAAATATTATAGAGGGTTTTTTAATATCTCTGAGCCTCTGTATTTACCTAGACTAAAATAAGATCGACCACAGCACTGAGATCAGCATTCGATCTGGAGGTTTAGTCTCTTTCAGAGCAACAGCACACAGCTATTCTGAGGCCTGAACAGTTTTTCTGTGTGTTTGAGTGAGTGATTGGGAGGTACAGAGGGAACAGAATATCCCAACACACACAAAGGCACACACACACACACCCCACTGCGCTCCACGATTGATGTGAAGGGGAAGGAAGTCAGATATTAGAATAATGTGACACTGAAGACTGGAGTAATGACGATGAAAATTCAGCTTTAAATCACAGGAATAAAATACATATATTTAAAATATATTCAAATAGAAAACAGCTATTTTAAATTGTAATAATATTTTATAATATTACTGTTATTATTGTATTTTTTCAAATAAATTCATAAAATGTAACCGACTTCAAAATTCAAAAGGTATAGTGTATGTGTAGTATTATATTTTCTCATGCAAAGTTTGCATTCACGATGCTCTGATGTTTGTTGCCAGATTGTTGTTCCCAGGTTGTTAAGGTATTTTTTGTTAAGGTGTTTTTTGTGCGTTGCTATGAACAAACGTAGGACACGATAAGCACTCAAATTAGAAGTAATACCATGGCAATAGTTAAACTATTATCAGTGAAGCACCATAAATTAACAATCGTTCTGCCAAGCAATGCAGTTCATGGACTGTTTATGGTTGCTAGGCAACTACAGAATTCATCAAATAAGATTCCGGAGACAGAACTGCTCATTTATGCAATACTTCTTAAACTGAAGGTTGTCAAGAGTGACATGTCTTTGAGCAGAAGGTCTTACCGACACTCCTCTTCCGTCTGTGGGACAGCTGCAGACTCTTGAGATCTGAGGAAGTGGCCTTATATGAATGATGGCTCTTCTGATGGTGCTTCTGTTTGACCTCCTCAATCACCTCATTTCCAGGACCTCCTCAAAACACAGGTTATCTGTATTACTTTCATGTAAAATCACTTTTCCCCCCCTTTTAAACCAAGATGAATCCACAATGAGGCTATTGAAAGTCTCCAGTAGATGCCCCGCAGCCTTAAGAGGCTAAGTGGCACCAAAGCATGAAATAATTTCCTTCTTCACAAACTCATTTTTCTACAAACAATGGCTGCTTTATTCACAAGCTTAATTGGAAATTCATCACGAAGGATTTCTGGAGGAACGATGTAATTTTGGCCCTGAATGTGGTTGCCAAGTTTATTATAATGTCTTCTGTAGCATTGACATGCCCGAAGCACAAATCTGAACTCCTGACAACCTCAGTGGATTTGCCACTGGTACAAATGAGTAAGACTCCTGAATACAAAATCAGTTCAGTTATTAGGTGCTGTTTAAACAACGCATGATGCATATGAAAGCATCATATTAATAATAAGGTTTGAATTAATCATGTGACATAACCAACAACACAGAGCATGACAACTAATGCACAAAACGCTTTCCATGTATGAATGAAGAGATTGGTATATTAAAGCGATAGTTTACCAAAAAATGAAAAGTTTGTCATCATCTACTCGCCCTCATGCTATTCCAAACCTATTCTTTTTTTGTTTAATTTTTCAAAAGATATTTTGAAGAATGTTGGCAATCGAACAGCAGCTGGTATCCACTGAATTCACAGTATGGAAAAAAATACTATAGAAATCAATGGCTACCAGCAACTGTTTGATTACCAACATTCTTCAAAATATCTTCTTTTGTGTTCAACAGAAACGTTTGGAACAACATGAGGGTGAGTAAATGATGACAGAATTTTAATTTGGGGGTAAAAAAAAAAAAGGACAAAATAAGGAGATCATCAGTCTCCCTGTAAAACATGAAATCATTTCCTTTTATTCCTACAGATCTAAACTAGTTTCACTTTGAGAGGTAGACATTCAGGTACTGTAAGCATAAATATGATATGAAATATGATATTTTGTCAAAAGGACCACTCAGTAAAAGTGACCGTCTGATTGACATGAAAATCAGCTAACCGCTGTTCACTTGTTGCATTATATGATAAAGTGTCATAAACAATTTATGGTGCTGTGTTATAAGGAATGAAATATACAATTAAATACTGAAAAATCTAAAACAAAATTTTTTTTTTTGTATATTTTTATTTGTTTTTATTGTTCACAAAGTTTTTATATAGTAAAAATATTGCAAATATAGAATATATATATATATATATATATATATATAGCAATATTATATTGCAATATATATAATATATATCTACAACAAATAAAAACTATTTTAGGTGAATAATTAAAACTAATAAATAATAATAAATAAAAACTAATAAAACTGATAATTAAATACAGAAAAAAAAAATAGTTTTATTCATTTTATTAATTATTTTTCAATAGTTTTATTCATTTTTTCATATTCAAAGTTTTATATATATTTATATATAGTATAGATAGAAAGGTATGTATGTGTGTGTGTGTGTGTGTGTGTGTGTATTTAGATAACAATATTATATTGTAAATATATAATATATATCTACAACAAATAAAAACTATTTGTGAATAATTAAAACAAAAATTTGTATTTTTGTTTTAATTATTAAAGTTTTATTCATTTTTTCATATTCAAAGTTTTATATATATTTATATATAGTATAGATAGATAGGTATGAATGTATGTATGTGTATGTGTGTGTGTGTGTGTGTGTGTGTGTGTATAAATACTGTATATATACTGTAAAATACAGTATATATAAACTATTTGTAACCAATTAACAATATACACTACAGAAATTTTCAAACTAAATTTGTTATCTGATATTGTTCTACAGATATTTTAGCCCGGTTTAGTTAACTAAAGCATGCAGTGTGGTTAACCATCAAACTGGCTAATCTGTGAGTGGCAGAAGAACTGCGCCCAGCTCTGAACTGTGAGGGTGCGTCCGTCAGGAATGCTGAGAGAGCAAAGCACCCAAACACACTCTCTGAACTTAAAAGACTGCATGACCACACACAGTCCTGAAGCAGGAAACACAAGTGACATGACAACAAAAGCCCCACTCTGTTCTGTGTCTCTAGTTCGTCTCATCTTTCCTACCAAATGGAAGGCCATTGTTTTTAAGCTGTTTTTCAGACTCAGTCAAAGAGTAAGCACTGACCCGCAGAGAGAGAGAGCTCAGCATTTGATCCTGCACAACACACCTTATCTCATGTTCACATCAAAACTCAGTGTTATGATGTCAAACTCGAGACCTTTGTTCTCTTGAACACAAAAACACCAGACGACCATCTGAAAGAAAGTACTGCTGTCAAAGCACACTTAAAGCAACAGCTCACCCAAAAAAATCATTTTTGTCATCAGATGTTGTGAAAGAATTAAATGGAGCAACGTTTCTTTGTGTTGTTCTAAACACGTGTGAATGAGCAAATGAGATTTGAGATTTATGGTGAAGAGATTTTCAGTGAATAATGGCTTTTTTTGGGGGGGATATGTGTACCTTCAATTTATTCGGGTTTGTCAGTGGAAAAATACTAAAATAAATGTTTTAATTTTGAATTTATTTATATACTGTACAAAAGTATTGCTTATACAGATTAAAAGTGTCATGTTTATGTTAACTCTCTGTGTGTGTGTGTGTGTGAAGCCCATTTCAGCCACAGATTTAAAAAAACAAGAAAGGTAATTCTTGTTCACAATTACCTTTTTATATTTTTTTCCCCATGGCATTTTTTCCCCATAATTCTGACTTTATATCTCACAACTCTGAGAAAAAAAGCCAGAATTGTCAAATATAAAAAAAAAACTTTTTGTGGAGGAAACAGGTTTTCATAGATATCTGTTCAGAAATTAAGAATTAAAAACCCTGCTTAGCCTATATATATATTTTTTTTTTTTACATTTTATATTGAGTTTTGATCTTAACTTTGGTTCCTGTGTGGGAGCGGTTCCTGAGTGATTACAGTGAACATGAAAACAACCTATTCAAGTCCTTCTCTTTGACTGACATGCGACGGCTTTGAACAGTCTGACTTTAAAAAGATCTGAAAATATACCATCACTGGCGTCAGGCATCTTTTACTAGTCTTTGGGTGTCTGACAGACAGCCTGATTTATGAGGACACCAATAACAACTAGAATACTAGAGTACTATATCTAAAAACGGGAAATGTTGTATCTATTTGAAACATACAAAGGCTATATTTCACCCCAAAATCAAAAGAAAAAAAGAAAAATATTTATTTAATTAGCCTATTTTAGTACTAAGAATTTTGCAGGAAAAATATTTTCTTGATCATATTTTTTAATTACAATAGTTTTTACTGTGCTTAACTGACTTTAATTCAAAAATAAACTATAAAATAACTAAAATATAACAAAAAAAAATAATATAAATATATATATATATATATATATATATATAACTAAACAAAAATCTTCAAATAAAAATAAAACAAATTATTAAATAAAGTACGTAATTTTAAATAAATCTTAAATATATAAAAAATAAAGCAATATGTAATTTCTTTTTTTTCTGTACATTCTGGAGTGAAATGTAACCTAGACATGTTCTTGACAGGTGTGGTGAGATTAACCCACATAGCATATAAAAGTCACTTATTTACTCCAATGCAGTGCACACTAATTCTAACCAATGGAACCAAAAAGACCAAAAAATAATAATAATTTTAAGGTAGATATTTTCAAACTTCAAAAGAGCCCCGCCATTTGATATATTACAAGTGCCTGTGTAAATACCAGCTCAAGTGAACTCAGAGACGGCTCGTGTTAGTGATCACGGTAATATTATCCAAACTAAAAAGAAGGAGGAAAACTAGCAGCAGAACACGAGATTTCAACCCCGTACAAAGCATATTTCACTCATGCGTTTTACTGTTAACATCACCACTCCTATTGCAACATTAAATGCCCAGAGGACTTGTATTTATGACATGAGGCGATGCTCTGTTATCATTATTCAACCCGTCCCCCCTGCACACCTATCACACCTATGCTCTCACCACAGAAACCAGACTGGTTACACTCATACCCCACATTATACTGTCTTGCTTTTGTGTGTGTGTGTAATTACCGGTAATTCCCCTGTAAATGAAATTATAGTAGGCAAATAAAACCACTTGCGGACAACTTAAGTATAGGAAAACTTGGCTTCCCGTTCGCCGTGACGTAAGTCTGGAAATAAGATCCATGCGTTGCTCTAAAAACAGAAGCAATCTGCGAAGAACTATTTATGACTCTCCACCCATTGGCCAGTATAAACGATACCTTTAAATTGTTTTGTGCCACGTATAAAACACAGCTTCACGGCTTTGTGACATGTACAACATTTACACTTAAACCACAGCAACTACAACAAACACCTGTAAATAGCCCTGCCACAGAGACACATGAGATTAGCTGTTGAACAAAGTCCACAGAGGTGTCAAGAAGACAATGAGCAGAATTTACCTGGGGAATTTACCTCCAGTAGCCGCTGGAGGTCGCTGATGCTGTTGATTTCGCTGTGGGACAGTCTGTCGATGAAATCCTGAGGGATTGCAAACTCCTTCTGCCGACATAAAAAGAGCTCAGTTGCAATTTGACAAATCTAGCACGACACAGAAGTGTATTTCTGCGTAAGAGTAGCGTAAAATAAAAGTCTGAAAAGTTGAAAAGCCATTCTGAAGACGCATTTTCTAATCACATCAACAAAAATCGAGCAGATGTAGGCTATTTTCCTGTTACAGATT